TGCACATCCTTCTAGTTGCTGTATGTGGGACACGGCCTCAGCATGGCCAGAGAAGCGGTGCGTCGGTGCGAGCCCGGGATCCGACCCCGGGCCGCCAGCAGCGGAGTGCACGCACTGAACCACTAAGCCACGGGGCCGGCCCTAATTCCTTATTATAAAAGTGATACATGTTAGTTACAGAAAAATCAGAAAGTAAAGTAAAATGGATGTAAGGAATTTTTCTTTTTGGTGAGCAAGATTGGCCCTGAGCTAACATCTGTGCCCATCTTCCTCTATTTCATACGTAGGACGCCGTGCCACAGCACAGCTTGAAGAGCTGTGTGTAGGTCCGTGTCCGAGATCCAAACCCACAAACCCTGGGCCGCCGAAGCAGAGCACAAGAACTTAACTGCTACGCCACTGGGTCGGCCCCTGTAAGGAATTCTTATACTCCCAACCACTCACCACTGTTAATTCCTTGACACATATCCTTCCAGATCTTTTTTCCACTGAATTGCTCACATTGGTTACTTAAATTAAATCAATAAGCATTCACTGGATATCTACAAACGTAGGTGAGGCCTTGTGAGGAACACAATAGGTTCTTGCCCTCAAAGATCTGAGAAACCGCCTGGGGACATAATAAAATCCATGACAATTGTAGTTTACACTTACATAGTGCTCATATGTGCCAAGAATTGTTCTAAATGTTTCCCATGTTAACTCATTTAATCCTCACAAACAGCCACGAGGTAGGAAAATATCATCCCTTTTTACAGAAAATGGAGCACAGAGACGGAAAGCAATTTGCCTGAGACACACAGCTAGTAAGTGGAAGGGTGAGATCTAAAGCCAGGGCGATCTGTTCCTGGAGTCCCTGCTGTGAACCCACTGTGCTGCGTCACCTCCTAACCACTTGCGAGAGAGGGCAATACCAGATTTACAGCTCAGGCAATAACAGAAAATGAGTCTTGAGCTCTACCTGCTCCACAGGCAGACGGACAAGAGGCTCCACATGAACCTCTGGGCGGAGACGTCATTTTGGGCTGGGGTAGCGAGGAAAATCCTTGGCTCTCAAATGTGCGTATAGATGAAGGAAAGATGGGGCAGTAGACCCCCAGCAGAGGGAGCAGCGCACCCGACGTGCACGCGCACGGAGGCGTGAACCAAGGTGTGTGCACGCCCGCCTGGCCAAGGGTGGCACACCCGCCCACGACTTGACTCAAAATGTTACCAACCACTTCCCGTTTCTAAAATAAGAGAACTGAGACCAAACACCAGTTACCGTCTGAATTATTAAGAAGTTCTCATGTCATATTGGAAGATTCCTTCTGTCCCCTCGGGGCTTATCGGGTTTGAGACGCAGTCAGAGGACTAGAGGAGGGGACCTGTGTCCTATTAGGTAAAAAGAGGAACATCTCACTGGTTTCATAACAGTGAGGTTAAATTTTCAACTAAGAGCAACTTGCTCCTTAAAGATTTTAAAACTGTTTCTAGAAATATGTCAGTGTTAACTTTACTGAGTTCACAGAACGTTACCTCCCTATTTCTCGCTGACCTGGCACGTCATTAAAACACGACAAACAGGGTCCACTCTGAGGCGGGATGTCCTCCAGGGACGGCAAGGAGTGGAGGGGACCTTCCTGTGCTACATGGCCTCATCCTGCTGTGCTTGTGGTTTCTCTGACTTTTTCTATAGCCTTTCTGTTGCTTCCCTCTTTTTCAAATCTGTTAGAAGGCCCGTCGCAAAACGCCTCTCTCCATCCATTGCAGTCTACGCTGCAATGGTCTGAAGAGCAGATAACCAAGATGGCTAGAACTTTTGTAAAATTAAGAGGAAGGATCTGAGACGATCCAGTGATTTATTTCTTTTTTTTAAGATGTTATGTAGATTAAGGCAGTGTTTAGGTTAATATAGGTTTTTTCTCTTTTATAAATCATAGAGTAGATTACACTTGATCTACTCTGTGGAGCTGCTGTACATAAACAGTTTGGTACCAGTGACTTGGGGTAAACGGTGTATGCCCAAGGATACGAACATGGAGCAACTGTCGATCCACTCACAGGCAGCACCGCAGGGTGGTTAAGAATATGGACTTGGGACCCAGAACGCATGGATTCAAACTCTGGCTCTGCGTATTAGCTGTAGGATCTTGAACCAGGTACTAACTCTCCGTCTCTTAGTAAATATAGTGATGATAATAGTATCCACCTAACCAAGTGGCTATGAGGATTCAATAAGTTAATATTTGCAGAGGGCTTAGAACAGTGCCTGGGACAGACTAAGGGCCATGCGTGGATATCTGACAAGTGAACGCCACCAACAAAGAGGACATTCCCACCGACTTTGCTCCAAAGGTTAAAGTTAGGGGAAGCAGAAGTTCTTTCTCTAAGTAGGGGGGTTACACTCTCTAACTTAAAATGTCCCCAAAGCACACATCCCTTTATGTGGCAAGTCCACTCTGAGGACTCTATCCCACAGGGAAAAAGTGCCAGTTCAGGCAGACACAGGTACAAAGACGTTTACTGCAACACGGTTCACCGTGGTCAAGAACTGCAACCACCACACAGACACTGACAAGAATCTGTATAGTAGCTGGAGAAATTCTCATGAGATATTAAGTGAGAAAAGCAAGACACAGAAAATCATGTGTGATACGATCCCACTTTTGTAAAGGAAACTAGTGCTCGATTTATGTATAAATACAGGTGTGTGCTGTTTATTTATATGGGCAGGTATAGCACAGAGAGAAGTGCAGAAGAACAAACACTGGAAAGTTAACATGACTCACGTTGAGGGGCAGGGATAGAGGAATGGGATGCTGACGTGTGGACGGGTAGGAGGGCTGGGTAAAAGGAATTCATGATAACAGCAGCGTCTATATGATGTTCCATGTGTATAAAATCACGCACATGCACGCATGCGTCTATGTGTATATGAAAAAGAGACCCACGACACGATCATTATCAAAATGGTAAAGGCGATTATCTTAGCGTGGTAGGACTGAAGTGTACCTTCACTTTCTTTATATCTTTATGTGTGTTCAAAATCTATACAATGAACATGTTCTATTTATATTATTAAAACAAAATCAATAAAGCTGTATTTTCATTTTAAAAAAATAAAATAAAAATCAAATGCCCAAATTATTTCTGGCAATAGCTTGGTGTGGTCAGAACAGTAATCAGGCACCAGAAGACCTGAATTCTAGCCCGGGTTTTGCCACCGACAAGCTGTCCAACTCTAGGCAAGTCCATTGGTCTTTCTGCGCTTCAGTTTTTTCATCTAAAACATAATCCTTACCTTGCCGCCCTTAAAGGGTGATTATGAAGACTAAATGTGAGAATGGATCCAAGATAGTGCTCTGAAGACTAAAAAGGGCATTAATAATGGAGGGATTATTACCTTGTTTCTCAGGCACTAAAACAATGAGAACTTACCAAAGCAGAAACCGACCAGGGACCAAAGATGCCTCCCTCTCCAAACACTGGCTCAAAGAAGGGCACCGCCACCAGCAGCATGGCAGACGACATGGGAGCCTGGTAGTAGAGCAGCTGCATCGAGTTCACCTGCAACTCATGCTGTTTGGCTCCCACCCACTGAGAGTCAGGAGACAGAACAAGGTAGGCAGAAAAAATAGCATCACTTAATAATTGAAAGATGCAACTCTAGCCACAAAGATGGGAACGTGGGGCAGGACTAGGGGAGAAGAAATGCCTAATTATTCTACAAGATGTCAAAGATCAATAATATATACGAATATCCTTCAAGCACCTTGGATGAAAGGAGCTTTATAAATTCAATGTCTGAAAATTTATTTTCTTCTCACTTATAAAGAAGGAGAAAAAAAAACACTCTCTTCTCTCCTGATCCTAGGAAATGGGGAAAGTGACTGCCCACAGGGGTCCCAAGCACCAGAGAGGTTGGGAAACGAGGCAGGAATGGAAATGTGGGTAATAAGTAGGAATACAGACGCAGGGGCAGACTTCATTTCTCTCTAACAATGGCCTTCCAAAAGAAGACCGGGGGCAGGGCAGGCTAATGAGAGACGGACGAGAATTTCAGTTATTCCAAGTGGCCTGCCACGTGTGTGGCTGAGAAGGTGTGTGAGGTCCTTCATTCACTTCAGAAAACCCAATCAATAACAGAAGGAATTTTCCTCCTGATGGAGAACGTTTCTGTGGGTAATCCCTCACCAGCACACCTCAGTAAAGCAGACGTTCGCAAATCCTAGAAGACTGTATCATTCAGCAGAGCCAGCCCCTCAAAGCCGCAAATCCCATCAGTGCCCAAAATGCTTCAGAAATGGAAAGGAGGCTTTAACAGAAGCTTGATAGGACTGTCCGAATTAAGATCTGGCAAGAGGCGCAATGCTTTTGAATAACTGTCCTACACAATTCCTCTTCCAGTAGGTCTGGTATCCTGTTACATAAACTCTAAGTCTATAGAAATTCACCAAGACAAAAACAGAAGGGCAGGAAATCTGAAGCATACTCCTGCCAGCCTCAGCTGAGAGCCTTCTGTGAACACAAAGGACAAAGCATTGATTCTGCTGCTGCCCGCTCCTTGGGGCACCGCAGAGGGTGTATGCACGCCCCTCCTTTCCCGCAGCCCTGCTAGGCAGCTGGGCATCTCTGCCTCAGACCCGCCTGGAATGGTGGCAGCTCTCCGGGCCTCGCCCGTCCCTTCCTGCAGTGCAGCCTGGCCTCTGCCCACCACCTCTCTAATGCAACTGCTCCCCAAAGGGCACGGTCACCTCCAATGGCCACATCCAAAGGACTCCCCTCAGCTCTCTTCCTGCTGAAGGTCTCTGCAGAACCTGCAGACTTCTCCTGGAAGACCTGGACCTCTGGTTTGCACTGTTCCCTCACTCACTACTTTTAAGGTAGATGTCTGGTCTTCCTCTTTATCTCCCCGACCGATCTGCTACCATCCGCTGACATCTACAGCTCTGACCTCCTTCCCTGAGCAGCCTGTAACTCACATCTCAACGGCTTACTGGCTGTCTTCACTTAGATAATCTGCAGGAACTTGTTTAACATCAAGCTCATTACTTCCTTACTCCTCATTTTCCTCACATTCAGTTAGGTCTACTAATTCTTTCTCCAAAGGTCTCTGGAGTCTGTTTTTCCCGCGTCCACTACCACCTCCCTTGTTTCAAGCCTTCCTGTCCCCCTTAAACTATGGAGAGCTTCCTCACTGCTCCACCTGTCACCCTCTCTTCCCTCTCTTATTCACCCTTTGCTGCCGCCAGAGTTAATTTTCTAGAACACGATCGATCACTGCCCGATCGATCACTGCCCTACCAACTCTCCTCTCCTGGGGCCTGCAGGACCAAGAGCGCACTTCCGAGCATGACAGTCAAGCCTCTGCCGTCTCTCACCCTCCTCAGCCTTATCTTTCCACTAGAGTCTAGCCTCCCCAGACAAATCAAGTTCTCCAGAAATGCTCCACACTTGCACACATCATTGCAAACAAAGCCCTCTGCTCTATTTCTTTGCTAAGCAAATTCCTGTGCATCCTTCAATTTAAATGGTTAACTTTTCCATAAAGTCTACCTCACCACCCTCTTGCAGAACTGCCACTTCCTCCCTGTGTTCCTTAGAACTTTCCTCAGACCCTGAGCTACACTACTTGTGATCAGCTGTCTACATGGGTTTCTACAACGCTGAACTGCAGCTCCTTCTCATCGTGGTATCCTTAAGGCCGAGCACAAAGCAGAGGAAAGTATGCTGAAGGAATGAACGAGACAATGGTCTTTCTACCACTAAAGCTGAGAGCTGATCGCTGCCTTTTAACTCCTTTTCATGCCCCAGCAGTATAGGAAGAAATAACTTTGAAATTATACCTGGATCAAATGGGAAAATACAATTTTCTTCAAAAGGAATTTTTGGGGAATATACCTATTCTGTAACAGTATTTTCACCATTCACTGATAATTGAAAACTCTGCTCATTAGTTAGTCCATTATCATTCCTTGGTCAATCTCATTTCAAATATCTACCTGAGGGATACAGAATCCTTTGGTTCTAATCTATAGCAATTTTGAGACTTGTGCGAACAAAAATGGTCAAATTAGCGTGAACAGTGAGTACTCTGAATCGAAATTATATATAAGGAATACAAGAAATTCTAACGTTCAACAAATAAAATTCTTGCTATACTTAATAAATATTTAATCCATATTGAGCAAAAAGTTCATTTAGCAAAAAGAATGTTCACTTACTGTATCTAGTAACAAGATTTAAACTCACTGAAGTACACCCAAATATGATTTTCTTAAAGCACAAAGCTGAATGTCCTGATTACTCTCTGTAGTAAAGACAGACTATTTCGGAGCCAAGTGACAAGTCTGAGTCTGTGCCCCAGCCTTTCAGCCACTGGTCTCTTCTTCTACTTAAACTGCTTCTCCGTCACTAAAAAATGTATTCAACCCCAGAAATTTAACATAACGATGTTTCTGAAATGATCAGTACTAGAAAGGTTAAGATGCTACGGCTATATTGTTAAACTCCTAACATTCATAACAAGAATGTCTTAGTTTATAACCAGTGCATGTTTGTGAAAAAAGTAAAATTGGTTACACATTTTGACTGATTCTCCATGCAGGCACACCCAGAATTGCCAGTCCAAGGTTTTCAGTATAGAGAAAATACTGTTTCACTGTACCCTACACCAAGTTATTTTTTTTCTCCACTATACAAGAAACAAAAAACACTTGTTGAGATTTTATGGTAATGAATCCATGAACAGATTTTTAATGACTGCCTTCTATAGGCAAGGCACTGTCCTGGTACAAGAACTGAAATACCCATTGCTATAAATATTGATACAAATTATGAGAAGCCAATATACAAGTTGTAGCAGCAGCACATTTTTGAGGCAAAGATTTATAAATCTGAAATTTTCCTTTCCTCTTCAAAGTTTTGGAAGTGTACTCATTTCTTCATAGTAATGTTATATAATTAAAGAGTAAATGATAAATATAACCAATGAACTCAGTCTTCAAGTAAAAAATCTTACTACTCATTTTGGAACGATTTCTCAGAAAATAACACAATGTCACCCCAAACTCAGACTGTGAAGCATGGGTACTGTACACGTACAAACAGGCAGGGAGGTATCTGGTGAGCACTATAACCACATGTTTCTCTGTCTCCTTTCTTCTCTTCATCTGAGTTAGACAACTGACACAATTATGCCTTCTTCCCAACAGACTATTGTTTCTATACTGTATTTTCAAAACCTTGGGATACAGCTTTGAAATTTATGAAATCTGCTAAAAAAGCACATAAAGAAAAAAAAATTACCAACCACTTGATAAAGGGATGTAACTAAAACACCAAGAGCAGCAAACACCATTCCAAGGAAATTAAACTTCACATCATAATAAGAGTTTAGGATTACACCTAAAGTTATAGGAATCTGTAAAGAAAAAAAGGTAAAGAGAGATTAAATTCGAGAGTATTCCTTTCATGGTATCTTACAAAGTTAATCATAAAAACATCACTGGGAAACTATGAACGTCTATAAATTTTCTTTTTCTATTTGAAAAAGCTGGTTAATCCTATTTCCCCAAAGTAAAATATGATAATTCTACATTTATGTTCACATTTAATTCTATTTAAAATTTTCGGTAAAATACTGAGTCAGTGCATCGCACTTTGCAAGAAACAATACTACATGCAGGCACACAGGAGTAAACGGACCCCCAAACTAGTGTCTCAACAGCTTATAACATAAACATATACCCAAAGCATTAAGACTTCACATATTGTAAGTGGTTAAGCGCTAAAATGATTTTAGCCCATCTCGCTTTGTTTAGAGACGCAGAAACCTCTGCAGTGTGTCGCTGCAGACATACTCGGAGCCTTATACTTTACGCCAACCCTCTGACGTCTACCACACACGGTCTCACTCCCCCGGGGGCGGGGGCTGCTTTCCGCTGAGCTTTTGCAGACGCTCCACAGGCTGACTCGCAGCCCCAGTACCGCTGTCCTTTCTCACAGCACAGCACTTACGGACGCGCGTGCAACGGCGGTTATGACAACAGACAGGCACGCCTCCCGGCTAAGAGCCCGCGGAGGGCCCCGCCGGCCGTCCTCCACCTCCCCCGCGGATTCAGGCGAGGGAGCGCGCGGCGCGGCGGTCCACTCGGCGGGACACTCACCAGCGTGAGGCGGACCCTGGTGGAGAAGGTCTTCCCGTAGCAGAGGGTCTGGATGACGATGATGGCCGGCGTGGTCATGGCCTTGGCCAGCTGGTAGGTGCCGATGGTGTTGCTCTGCAGGGAGAGGTTGGTGAAGACCACGAAGCCGCAGAAGCTGAGCGCCAGGAGCACGAGCCGCGAGGGCGGCAGGCTCTTGGGGGCAAAGACGTCGAGCTTCTGGCAGACGTAGAGGCCCAGCCAGGTGACCACGAAGTGCACGAGCGTCAGGCTCATGTTGGGGAAGCCGTGGTGCACGTAGATCCACTTGTTGAGGAACACGATGCAGATCGACACCAGCAGGTTGAGCAGCAGCCCCGCGGCGATGCGCCCGTGGCCGCGCACCCGCTCGGCCAGCGACGCCATGGCCCCC